CTCCTACCTACTCCCCAACAACGCCGAAGTACAGCCCCACTTCTCCAACCCCTCCCCCACACACACCCCCACCAGCCCCAAATACTCCCCTACCTCGCCAACCTATTCCCCAACTTCACCCAAGTACTCGCCCACATCTCCTACTTACTCACCAACTAGTCCTAAAGGCTCCACATACAGCCCCACCTCCCCTGGATACAGCCCCACCTCACCCACCTACAGCCCGGCCATCAGCCCCGACGACAGTGATGATGAGAACAACTGAGCAGCCACGGAGGAGAAGTGGAGGAGGCTGAAGACACACCGTCACCTCATGATAAACACGTGAAGGACTGCACTCTTAACCAGCTGGAGGCGGTGTTGTGTTTAGCCACAGGGGTCCCAATTGTGATCATTTTAAGTTTTGGAGAGGTCTCTCCTTTGGGGACCCCTGTCCTGCCTGTCAGGGGGAGTTGTCCCACCTTTACCCCAAAAATAGTTAAAACTATTATGTGAAAGATTTATCTGAACTGACCAGGAATCCTGAGGAGTCATTTTCTTTTGAGTTATGTTCTGAAAATGTTTAAAGACTTGTCTAATTTTGTGAAACACTGTTTCCAGGTTGGTCTTGAATTGAAAGGTCTGCATCTTCTGGCCTTTTGAGATAAAGCAGGTTTGGTAATGGCATTTAGCAAATATTGTGGTGGACCTTGATGCTTTCCATAAAGCCACAGACATATAGATATTTGGTCCACTATGCTTGCATCAAATCCTGTTGTTTTAACTGTGCTGTCAAGTCAAGACCCAGTTGAATGAATGGCTAAATGTGTGTATGCGTGTTCAGTTGGTGAGACAGGGTTTCAAGCAGAAGAAAGACTTCATGTCTCTGAAAATGAAGGTTTAACTTTAAATTGCCACTGTATAGAAATTGATTCATTATCTTGTTCTCGGTATCTTTGTTTTTTGACTTGGAAAAAACGAATAAAAAATTTTACTACATTTGCCTTTTTTTTTGTTGTGGGTTGTACATTGTTCCATTACAGCTGTAAAGTTAGCATACTGAAAACAATGTTTGTGCTACATTTTATAGCATTTGGAGATTAATGATAACACTAGTTGTAGAGTATATTTTCTGCCTCTTTCTGTTATTGGATAAAATCATGTATTACAAATTGATTAGTGTAATGGTTGACATTAAGTACATTTACTCTGCTTAGGTTAGAGTTTGAACCTTTTAAAGCGTCACACTCCTCTATTACCCCAGAGAATGTCATTTGCTGTAGTTGGTAGATTATGAATTTCGGTACAAAACATTGCCTTGAAAATTTTATGCATTAAATTGGTTAAAATATAAAACGGCGTCTAAAGTGACCAGCTACAACAGTAACATGTTTCTTATGATTTAGCAATAATTGAACATTAGAAAAGTGATTACATACATTTACATATAACACTCAAATAGACTTTTTTTTGTATCATGAATAACCCACATTTACTTTTAAGTATTGCTTTAAATGTAGGCCTACTCAGGTAAAACGTGTTGAATACTAGTTTAGGGCAGTTTGAACAATTACCAAATATGAGTTCTTTTTGTATGCTGACTACAAGAGAACAGACAGTACAGATGTAATCAGTATCACTGATCATGGCTTTGTTTCTGTTGGGTGTGCCTTGGGTGGAAGAAATACTTGGTACGTTCCTACCACAGTAACGTCTGTTAGGTAATTTCTTAGTCAGATAGATATTGATTAGATATTTGTTGTATTAGTTTAGTGGAGACAGGATGTCTAGCTCAGGTTGTTAAATGCTTAGTTCATTGTCATGAGTTCTGCAGGCTGCATGTGGGCCCCAAGGACAACTAGATAGAAAAAGTCAGCAGGCAGGATGAATATTGCTATTATTATGATATGTTCAGCCGTAATCTTAATCATAATATCTTCCGAGGCTTACTGTTCAGACATGTCCCTGAATGTCCTGTATGTTTTTAGATACACACCATGAAATCAATAGTCACACACATTGATTTGCTTCATGTTTTGACTACTGCTCTGGTCAGCTGCATAGCTGGCATATCAGGTGACGTCACGGTTTGACGTTGCCTGTGTAGGATGGGGCTAGCCCAACCAAGTGATTAAATTGTATAGGCATTTCTTGGTTTGGGGTCTTTTATCCTCCATGCTGCCTGCGCGCAGGTTTGGGGGTGGAAGATACCTGGACGTGTAATGTTAATTTTACCTGTGATCCTTTGAATAAACCAGCACGGTTATTTTTTATATATCCAAGTGGTCCGCCTCATCTCTCTGAGTTCCTGGTTAAAAGGACTGGCTAGTATCTTTTACGTCCTACATTCAAAATGTTACTAAAATGATCTAAGTGTTAGCAACAAATAGTACTTTAAGTACCAAAGGTAAAAGGACACATTTCAGAATTAGATGCATTATAATTATGGCTGCATTAACTTATAAGCATCATTTTTTGCTGGTGGTAAAGATGTAAAGGCTAATTTTAATCTATGTACTAGGGGTAGCTTACAGTATATAATGTATTTGTATTGGCAAAGTGACTAGTAGCCTAACTAAACGTAGTGAAGTAAAAATGTAGCAGACATAGCAAATAGACAAGTACTAGTATTTCAAAATGCACTTAAGTGCTGCAGACTACTTGAGTAACTGTAGCCTACTTTACTTTTTCTTCTACATGAAATCTGACACACCGGGCGCCAGGGGGCGCTCTCGTCTCGCTGTGAGCTCACTTGTTCGCTGACAGGAAGTGGGCCCATCAATCAGGCCGATTTATAAAAACATTGGGACAGAAACAGTAGGTAGAAATGGTGAGTTTTGACCAGAGGAGATAGGTTTGTCTGGTGAATCTCCCTGTGTGAGAGTCAACTTCAGCCACGAAACTTTGTCACTCAGTTTGCAAACTGTGCAGGTGAGCTGTGGAAAGTAGCGGCACGTCATGGGATTTAACAGCTTGATGGCAAAGTCGGCCATAGTTAACTCACAGCCCCCCATTGTTCATCTGTCGTCAACGTAAATGTGTCTAAACCCTCACGTTTCCACAAAATATTCCCGGACATACAGTGTGATCCACCTTCGGAAACATTGAGATACTGTATGTGGGGTTTTTAATATGAGAAACGCCAACTAATTAACACACTAATTGGAAAAAAAGAAGAAGAAATGTCACGTAACAAACCAAACAAGTTCAAATACTAAAAACGCCAGTGAAAATTGATTACCTAACAATATTTAGTTGCATAAATATTGATTTAGTGGTACTTAAAATTCTGAACTCCAGTCACTTATTTTTAAACAATTTAGCAATTTTAACAACAACCAAGGATGAAACCTTAAAATGAACACCATGCTAAGAATGTGAAGCATTTATTGTGTACTCAGTCCACAGTACATCACTATGTAAATAAATGTTTGCACCTTAGATAAGTCAAATTATTAGGTCAGGATCATATAACAGTAGATATGAAGTCAGTTGGGTTTCCTGAGTGGCTGTAGTTCCCTAATGGAGATGATCAATCACAGGTTTCACTCTGACCTCACACAAATCTTTGCAGGAGATCCGGGCACTGATGTGAGGCTGCACTGTGCTTCCTCCACACATGGGCGTGTGTGACGCCAGGAATCCATGTTTGGGTCGGTTGGTATGGTGATATTTACCAACTGTGAAGACATCTGATGTTGACTCATTAATAGGGGGGTTACAAGGATAGTTAATATTTCACATAAACAGAGGGAAACAGCTACAAAGCTTTGGAGAGGGGGGAGTTTATGAATGGATTTTAAAGATTTGTTGTAACTTTGTGTTTTTGTATCACCTCATATTTGTTTAAAGAAAAAACTTTAGGGTTTCAAGTTGAAAGATGAGCTAGCACATGATGTTGCTGAGCAGTTCGACATCTCCTTCAACTTGAAATCCTGTTTGAGTCAGGTTTCCGCACATTTAGCTTTGTGTATGTATGTTGGGGGGGGGGTTCAGAGGGCCGGGCTTAAACTACCACAAGCAGAACAGGAAGTATTTTGCGTATGAGAAAGAATTTGTGAGTTTGGGGATGTGTTGCTCCTTGCATGACTGCTTTTCTCCACTCACTGCTCAGACGTGTTGAGTCTCACCAGCAACTCAATTTCCCAAGTAAGTCTTATCATGAAGATTGATTTATTTGCACTTTCTGCTCTGCTGTTTCAGTCGATCGTTCTTTCTTGCTTTCTGTGCTTTGTGTCTCCTTCCTTCCTTTCCTTTCTCAGTGTAAAACCTTTTCCTGATTTTTCCTGCCATGCACGCTTTGTGTTTACTCATCACATTCCTCCTCCTGGAATCAGCTAAGGAATCTCACAGCAGGACACTGAGTCTTTTCGTTCCATTTCAGCGGGACTTCGTTCTGTCTGATATTATCTTGACATCCAAACTTCCTGCTACACTTTGCTTTTCCTTGCCACTCTGTCCTTCTCTCACTTCCTACATATCATCTTCATCTTGTGGGTTAGTCTGCAGGATTTCACAACTTCCCTAAACATCAGGTGGTTGTTAGAGCAGAAACAGCCCCAAAGCTGATTTCCTCCATCAGTAGTGGTAGCACAGGAGTCTCCTTGATAATCTAACCGTGGTAATGGTATTTTTGACTATTTAAACTTCATCTCTAACGAGTCACTACACTATTCACAAGCTTTGGCTGCAGTTGCCAACAAGAGGCATAAATCACAGCTGCAGTGAATTAAAAACAGGAACTAGTCTGTGTGCCCTCTGCACAGAGACAAGTTAAACAGGGACAGGGTCAAGAACAGAGAGCCAGCAGCCTGCTCTCCCACTAATTAGCCACCTGGTGTTTAGCTTTAGCCAGGAACCAGGAACACGACTCTACCCCCCACCACGCTGCATCCTATCCACAGGCTGTAGGTAGGCTTTCATCACACAGCTCCAGTTACGTTCCACATATAAGCTAACAAGACCAGGTGAGCGCAAACAGAGCTCCTGGTCTCATGCTCCCTCACACACTCTCTCCAGTGGACAGGCAGAATGGAGTCAGACAGCATGCCGGAGGTACCAGAGGGGATCACACAGTTAAGTGGACCGGGGACTTTTCTGTGCCTCCTTACTTGCTCTTGGAGTGGCTGTCTGAGCATTGTAACCTTAACCTGGCGGCTCCTGCATGTACCCTCTCTGTCTCCTCGCTCCCTTACCCCCTCTCCTCAACCGTTGTATGTGTTCAGATCTTCACTATGCTCCACTGTCTCCCACTCTGTGAGGTTCAATTACCATCAAATGTGTATTGATCACAGTTTATTCAAATGATGCGGAGCTGTATCTGAAGAGGAGTGACTGAGCCACTGGAAACCTGCAAAACGGAAACAGGAACTGCTGCCATCCTGTGGCTTATCACAGTGTTTATAATTAGTATAGAGTTTTTCTTCTGACTGATGATGTTGTGTCAGTAATCTGAGTGGACTCTAGCACTATATATAATCTTAATAGTTTGTCTTCATGGTTGCTACCTGGTGGCTGTTTAGCAGCAAAATTGAAACAAACTGCTGTGTAAGCGATGGGTAGATTAGACAGAGCAGTAAATGCTCCACCCAGTATATGTAGATCTGTGTCTCAGCTTGTCTCAGCCCCAGTACAGTTACAGAGCATTTCTTATGAAAAGGGAAGGAACATCAAGACATATTAATCATGTAGCTGCAACATAGTGATAAGATTTGTCAGGGTTGTCTGTATAAGTGTGTATTTATGAAGCCCTGACAAAAGGTTAGTGTAGTTGCACAGAGTGAGAGACATGTAGCAGCAACTAGTCTGTCCACAAACCTCACTTTGTTTCAGTCGGGCAAAATATAGCACAGCGAGGCCCAGGTAGACAGGAAGAGACCGAGATGTGGTTGTGCGGCACACTCACTGCATCAGCATGTGAGACTACTGCTTGTTTTTCTTGTTCATCAGTGAAATAATAGGAAAATCTATAAGACAGAGGGAGGTGTATGTTACAGTGACTCAGCCGAGTCCACACCTGGCTCCTTCTCGCCTGTGACATGATCTAGCTTGTGTACAGCCACGCCTGTGTTCAGCGCTTGGTGTTGTGTTGCATAATCATGATGTAATGTAGCCAATGGTGTTTAAGCAGCAACATAACCCTTCATTTTGTGTAGCGCATGGTGTCACAACGACCTCATCCTCCATCCAGTCTTTGTTAAAAGGGTTGTGGTTTAGAGGCCTCTGAGGTGGATTCTGGTCTCTGCAGTGAAATTGATTATTTTTACAGCTCAAAATTCAGTCAATAGGGAGCAGGTGAAGTCTGTCATTGAGCAAAGTTTAACAAGAATTAGCCCAGAGTTTAAGTGAGAAGTAAAAAATCATGACTGTGACAAGTTGGATGCTTCCCACGTTTGTGTGGCAGCTGTGGGCTTGAAATTTGCTTTTACTTCTCCTCATGCCAAACAGAACTGAGCCTCTCCTTCCAAATAGAAACCACCTCTGCTTCCTGTCCGACAAGTTTGTGTTGCACAAATCGGATGACACATTTCTATGTGTCAGTATGTCTTTCTTTTTCTGCTACCTGTAATAACTACTCGTCATTGTCTTCTCTTGTTGCAGTATGCTCCCATTCAAACCAGCGCCAGGTCAGTTTGGCCCAGAGGCCCAGGAGCCAGGCCTCCGGGTGTGGCGGGTGGAGAAGATGAAGGCAGTGCTGCTGAATTCCTCTGAGGTGGGAGCTTTCTATAATGGGGACTCGTATCTGGTGCTGGATAACCGCGGCCAACTGGGAGCCGACCTCCACATGTGGATAGGTGAGCAACTGGAGACGCATCTGGGTTATGCAAGGTCTATCTGTCTGATGCTGATGCTTACCCAAGTTACCTTCAACTATTTATTAAAGAAAAAATCAAGCTGAGGCCTAGTTCCTAGGCCTGTGATACGTGACCAGTCAGCACTGGTTGGGTCTGAAGGCTGCAAGGTCAGAAATGAAAAAATCTGGAATTGTGGAGTCATCTTACCAGACCCCAATTTCCAGTGGCAGTCCAGTTGCATTGAGGGTAATGTAGGTTTTCACAAGGAAGAAAAATGTGTGATTCTGCTGCAACAATTTTTAGTCTTGTGCTTCAAAAGTCCATTGTGAGTCAGACAGCGTCACAGCAGCGCTGAATCGAGAGAGTAACTGTGGAGTCTTGGCACGACATAGGGGGAAGAAAGGGATGCTTCTCCTGTTTCTATTTTCCTCCATCTAATAAAAGCAGTAACCATTGTCCACTGCTCACTACACACCTAACCCAGACCCAGTGCTGTGGCTGATGAGCTAATTACCCTCCGGCTAATGGTGATGACATATGAGACACAGCGCTGTGATGGCTGGAGAGTGATGGAGGGAAAACAGGGATGGTTTTAGAGCAGGGCTCATTAAAATTGCAGGATTGTTACAGTACTCAAACGTGGTTGTTGCTTCCTGCATGTGTCTGGTAGTACTTAGCTCCCTCCTCTCCTCCACCTGTTTACAGCTGATGACCCCTGTGTTGTCTCAGTGGATCCACTGTTTGCTTCTCACCTCATGTCTCCGTAACAAATCCTTTCTCTGCCACAGGTGAGAAGTCATCTCGGGATGAGCAGGTGGCCTGTGCCATGCTGGCCACTCAGCTGGACAGCTTTCTGGGCGGGGACCCCGTTCAGCACAGGCACGTTCAGGGCTACGAATCCCCAGAGTTTATGGCACTGTTTCCCAGAGGGGTCAGCTACAAGGTAGGGACTAGGGATAGCCCTGCATCTGGGTGTCCTGGAGGCTTGAACAGCTGACATAACACTGAAACATGAGACACACTGACAGTATAGAAATGAATATCCGTTTTCCCTCACAGGAGGGCGGTGTGGAGTCCGGCTTCAGGAAGGCTCAGGGCTCGGGGGCAGTGCACAGGTTGTATCAGATCAAAGGGAAGCGCAACATCCGTGCCAAAGAGGTGGCGCTGTCCTGGTCCAGCTTCAACAAGGGAGACTGCTTCATCCTAGACCTTGGAGAGGTGAGGGCACTCATGACGTAGAATTAGTATGATGAACATTTTGCACATTTACAACCAAACTGCATAAAATAAAGTGTCAGCTTCTTATTCTGTCTTGTCTGATGCTGCCTCACTGCCCTCCAGACGATTTTTTCATGGATCGGATCGCAGGCCAATATGTTTGAGAAGCAGAAGGTGCGTGAGATCGCCACACTGATCCGGGACACGGAGAGACACGGTAAAGCTCGTATCGTGGACGTCAGTGAGGGGGAAGAGCCCGAAGACATGCTCAAGGTAAATAGTGATGTTTGAAGAATTTTACTTGTAGAGGACCTAACTCCTGTGAGAACTACTCTTTCAGGTCAACAGTTACTGCCAAAAATGATCAGAAATCAAGTTAAAGAAATCCCAAAAAAGGATATGAATCTTTCTGATAAAGTTTCTAATGTTGCGGAGCAGGTCCTGGGAAAGATGCCAGCGCTGGCAGAGAGCACGCCAGAAGAAGACAGCAAAGCAGATGCTTCCAACTGTGCCTCGCTCTACAAGGTCACTTCATCTGCTCGGCCTTAAACGCTGCACTGACATCAAACCGTTTTTGTTTTTAAGTAAAGCCATAAACCCTGCAAACGTTGACTCCACAGGTGTCTGATGCAACAGGTTCTATGAAAATGACCAAAGTGTCGGACAAGAGCCCGTTTGCCAAGGAGCTTCTGGTGCGTGACGACTGCTTCATTCTGGACATTGGCGCCAACGGAAAGATCTTCGTCTGGAAAGGTGAGGCGATGCCAACTGGCCCTGAACCAGCAAAACCTCTGCTGCTTGAAATGCATAACAAAGAGAGTGATGGCTGGCAGGTGCCGGTGATACTCAGTGCCTAATTGGATCAAATTTTAATGGACACCAATAAACACCAGCATTATTTAGACAGTACTGCATAGCTCCACATGGTCCACACATCGGTCTGTGCACTAGATAACTAGGTTCTTGAACTTTTTCTGTTTTCCCATTTTAAGAACAAGAGACTGACTTGAAAAACCCTTTTAACACATTTTTTGCAAAGTTGCTGTGGTTATTTTTTCCTGTGGAATCCAGAAAAGGTTTTGTGCTGATGAGGATCTAAAACAAACCATCAAAAATGTCCATCTATGGTCTGGACCTGCTTTGGGGAGCTTAGCAATATACCACGTGTCTTAAACCGCCAGTACTAACGCATCATTCCCTGACTGTCAGGTAACGGAGCGAACGCTGACGAGAAGCGAGTGGCCCTACAGATGGCGGATAACTTCATCGAGCAAATGAAATATCCTAGGATGAAAACACAGGTACACTTATTTTACAGATGTATCCTGTATTTTAAATACCTGGAAATGGCAGTAAGAGTTTCAGAATATACATGAAATTACATTTAATGTAAACAAGAACATTTTATAGCCATTAATCACCATAAAATGCCAATTTTTTGTAAAAGATTTGGAATTTCCCACATTTAAAAGACTAAAACTACAACTGAGATGTCTTTTTTTTTCATTTTTCAACTATTTAATAGAAGAAAGTGTTTCACAGTTAAGTAAATCCAAGGATTTTGTAGGTGAAATTAAAACCATAAACTGTTTTTTAATTATGAGCGATGACTGTATTTTTACAGTTTATTAATATTCAGGTTTTTTAGCTGCCAGAATATTAGTTTTATTCTATAACAACGTACTCAATGCTCATAACTTGTACTAAAATTAAACATTACAAGCTATACATTCTGTAGAAAGGAAGGTCTGATCATCTCTATTACTGTAAACATATTATAGTTGGGCCTAGAGCTAATTTGTGTTTACAACAGACAGTAAAAGTTGAGCCACGTGGGGAAATTCTGCCACAAGTGAAAGAGACCATCATCTTCAAACAGTTCTTCAAGGACTGGCAGTAAACCTTTGACAAATCCAGCACTGGATAAAAGCTGAAAACAGAAAGCATCTCATACAAAATGCTCATGTTTTTTTTATATGCACTTGTATGTACATGTTGGTAAGGTACAGACAACACTGTCACCTGATTTGATCTTTGGTAGAGTCAGAAATGTGATGCCACTTTTGTAAATGCAGGTTTCTTCTGCTGAAAGTACATTAAAAGATATTTAAAAAAACCTTAAGTAAATGAAATCGGATTTTATTACACTTGTTCTAGTGTCACAGATTTACCTGCATGAGAAAAATAAATATGAAACTTGTAGAGGATGTGGCTTCACTTTTTTTCTTTCCGCTGCCAACACAAGATGCCAGATGGTTTCAGGTTTGCTTTCAAAATGCGTCAGTACTTTCAGCCATGCCTTCATCATGACGGAGTTTTTTACATGATGCTGTTTAAACTATGCCCCCTCATGGCTGCAGGAATATTACTGCACGCAATCCGGTATGACGTGTGTCGGTAATTGTCCAAAGGACTCATCCATCCATCTGTTATCTACACATTTTATTAGACATTTAAAGGCATAAAGGGCAAGAAAAGGCAGCATTTCATGAAGAAAAATGTATTTGGAGTCCAAATAATCACATTTACATTAATTTACAACTAACATAAGCTGATGATCAGAGCTTTATGAAGGTGCAGTATGAGAGCAGACAAACACCAGATCTGTCTTTATGGTGGTTTATGTTGGCAAGAAAACATGGCTGATAACAGCTGTTGTAATAAGCTGTTACAGAAGTTAATAGATTTTGAGGGACTGGAGCTGGAACTGAACACAATTGGAGACACTGAACAACATTATCATGAACCGGACGAAGATTTTGACCCTGAAAAAAACTTTTTTAAGAACTCTGAAAATAACTGCAAGTATTACACGGATGAGCAGTTTAACAGCAATGTCAAGACTGAAAACAAATTATCATTAATTCACTTTAATAGCAGAAGTCTATACGCAAACTTATAGAGTATAAAACATTATCTTTGTAGTCTTACACATTCTTTTAATATAATTGCTATTTCTGAAACTTGGATTAATAATGTAAGGGGAATGGATTTTGACCTTGATGGGTATGACTTGGTATGCACAAACAGAGAGAATAAGATGGGAGGTGGTGTGGCCTTGTACATAGATAAAAACTTTTGTTATAAGAGAGTGGAGAAAATGTCAAGGGCAGTAGATAATTTACTGGAATGTGTGACTGTAGAACTACTTTTAGAAAAAAAGAA